AGCCCTTCCTAATTTCCACTCAAGTTACAATATGTACAAGATATTCGCATTACAGGCTGAAGGGGACATGAAAGCGGATGCTGTTTGAGCAATATCTGAAGGACAATCCATTACAATAAAGCAGCAACATTCTAACTAGAAACAAAATAATCTGCATGCATTTCAATAGTCTAGCTGTATGCGGAAAAGAGTTGCTAAGACCAATAATCATTTTCAATGGGGCCTTGGACTGCCGGTGAATCACATGCATCTCTCTGAACATCCGATATCTTGCCTAGACATTGTGGACACTTCAGTAGATTTAAACGTGAAACAATGCTGTAAAACAAGTGTACACTCATACCTTGGGAAGGTGGGCAGTCTGTTGACACGGCTACCTGTAAACAAAAGAAACAAAAGGTATGACCACCACTGCAATGGGCCCAATGAAGATATTAGTGAATTTTAAATTTGAAGTTTCTCAGTCAGCTGAGAAGGTTGCAATCACAGTTGATCAGTACAAGTCTGTGAATGATTGTCAGTAATGACAACCTGAGTTCGACCTCAAAAGTACCAAATACGGAGTATGAAGCGAAAAATAAAAGGCACTATTTGGTAAATACTACTATGTGACTATTAGATGTTAACATATAAATCGACGTTTCAAAATTATCCGAAACAACTGATCCAATCCTTACGATCCGTCAGAATCTCAATATCTGTCATCACTGATCTAGGAAGAAAAAAATTTGCTGCATTTAAAATGCAATACATTTCCTTCAGCACTTCAATATTCTGCTTCACTACTTGCCTCACTCTTCTCCAATTTTGGCTTCAAGTCTTGTGCTGAATGTGTTTTGGCCGTGTCATCTACTGGCTCTGTAAATGTGCAGATGAGAATGATCTGACCCATGTAATGCATTGTCATTTATCCATTTTGATTAGCCCTCCCCAATATCCACTCAAGTTACAATGAGTATATACAAGACATTCGCCTTACAGGCTGAAGGGGACATGAAAGCGGATGCTGTTTGAGCAATATCTGAAGGACAATCCATTACAATACAGCAGTAACATTCTAACTAGTAGCAAAATGATCTGTATGTATGTCAATGGTCTAGCTGTACGCGGGTAAGAGTTGCTGAAACCAACAGTCATTTTCAATGGGGCCTTGGACTGCCGGTGAATCGCATGCATCTCTCCGAACATCCAAAATCTTGCCTAGACATTATGCACACTTCCGTCGATTTAAACGTGAAACAACATTGTAAAACAAGTGCACACTCATACCTGGGGAACACGGGCTGTCTGACAACACG